TGCCATTCTGAAAGGGCACAGAGGAAGCAGCCCCTGCCCTCCTGGGCAATCCCAGCAGGACCTCCAGAGGTGACTTTTTAATTTTTATTTATATATTTATTTATTTATTTACTTTTTGAGATGGAGTCTTGCTCTGTCACTCAGGCTGGAGTGCAGTGGTGCAATCTCGGCTCACTGCAACTTCCGCCTCCCAGGTTCAAGCAATTCTCCTGCCTCAGCCTCCTGAGTAGCTGGGATTATAGGCGCATGCCGCCATGCCCAGCTAATTTTTTTGTATTTTTTTAGTAGAGATGTGGGTTTCACCATGTTGGCTAGACTGATCTCGAACTCCTGACTTCAGGCAATCCATCCTTGGCCTCCCAAAGTGCTGGGATTACAGGCGTAAGCCACCGCGCCCAGCCCAGAGGTGACATTTGACATGTATTTTCTTGGAGAAAGGTGGGGGAGGGGCATGCCAGGTGGAGCAACAGCCTGTGCAAGGCAGGGGACATGCAGGGCAGTAACTGGCTCCTGAAGCTGAAGCAGGGGGAGGTTGGGGCAGGGGACGCCTGGAGGGCAGGAGCTTCATCCTACGGGCAGACGGTGAAGCCACTGAAGGTTTTCAGGAGAGGAGGGGCCCTATCAGATGTGCAGTTCAGAAAGCCCCCAGGGCTGCTGTGTACAAGCTGAGAAGGAGGCTTAGACTTGGCAGAGGACTCAGATCAGGTAGGTTCCCCTGGGTCCTTCTTGGAAGTGAGGAGACCGGTAAAGAGGCTGCTCTGTGAGCTCTGTTGAGGAAAGCCAACGAGGCCTGGCCTAGGACTGGGAAGATATTTTTGCCGTGGACTTGGCAGGAAGAGGGATAGCCTGCTGCTGGGCTTGGGCTTGGTTCCCGAGGCTCCAGGGTTTGCTTCAGAGGGCTAATGAAACACTTGGAAGAGCAGATGGTCGTAATAATAATAATTCGGGAGAGAACTGTGTGTCCAGTAGAGCCCAAGGCAGGCAAGGGGGTCGGAGTGGAGACTGAGTGACTCCTGGCCACTGCTCCCCAGGGCCTGAGAGAACCCTCCTGATCTGAGCCCTCTGCCAAGTGTAGGGCTGAGCCTGGGGCAGACCTGGGGACCTGGAAAGCCACTTTTCTTAGTTGGAAGGAAGTTTGGATTCTCTAACCTTCTTACCTTCCTGTTTGTGCAAACCTCTTAAGAAGAGGCCTGGCTGGATCACGAGGTCAGGAGATCGAGACCATCCTGGCTAACACAGTGAAAAGCCATCTCTACTAAAAATACAAAAAGTTAGCCAGGTGTGGTGGCGGGCACCTGTAGTCCCAGCTACTCAGGAGGCTGAGACAGGAGAATGGCATGAACGTGGGAGACAGAGCTTCCAGTGAGCCGAGATCGCGCCACTGCACTCCAGCCTGGGGGGTAGAGCGAGACTCCGTCTCAAAAAAAAAAAAAAAAAATTTAGTCTTTAGGGGGTCTGGCGCAGTGGCTCACTCCTATAATCCCAGCACATTGGGAGGCCAAGACAGGTGGATCACGAGGTCAGGAGTTCAAGACCAGCCTGGCCAAGATGCTGAATCCCTGTCTCTACTAAAAATACAAAAAAAAATTAGCCAGGCATGGTGGCACACACATGTAATCCCAGCTACTCGGGAGGCTGAGGCAGGAGAATCGCTTGAACCCAGAGGTTGCAGTGAGCCAAGACTGTGCCACTGCACTCCAGCCTGGGCGACAGAGCAAGACTCTGTCTCAAAAAAAAAAAAAAAAAAAAAAGATTTACTCTTTAGGGAGCTCTTTCTGGCTGCCCAGGCAGGCTTTCATGGGGAGGAAGTACAGAGTGTGCAGACTGGAGCAGAGAGACCAGTCAGGAGGCTGGTGCGAAAATCCAGAGAAAGACATAGAGGCACTGGAAGTGGTGGGGAGACATGGACAGACGGGTCAGCCACTTCGGAGGTACAATTGCTAGGACTTGGTGACTGTTGGAGGGTAAGGAGGAGAGAGGTGTCCCAGATGACACCCCGGATTTCTGGCTTGGGCTATTTGGGGGTGGCAGCGGGGACAACTTAGGGGGGCAGTTTTGGGGGTCATGGTGGGGGTGCCCACAGAGTAGTGGTGTACTCTGAGTATGTGCCACCTTTCAGGCCTGTGTCTGGAACTTATGCCTCATCAGCTTTAGAGATTGAAGATGGAGAAACTGAGGCTCGAAGATTAAGTAGCTTGTCCAAGATCACAGAGCTAGCCAGAAACAGAACTGGGATTTAACTCAGGTTTGTCTAATTTTGGTTCCATGATGTTTTTTTTTTTTTTTTTTTTTGAGACGGAGTCTCGCTCTGTCGCCCAGGCTGGAGTGCAGTGGCGCGATCTCGGCTCACTGCAAGCTCCGCCTCCTGGGTTTATGCCATTCTCCTGCCTCTGCCTCCCAAGTAGCTGGGACCACAGGTGCCCGCCAACACGCCCGGCTAATTTTTTGTATTTTTAGTAGAGACAGGGTTTCACCGTGTTAGCCAGGATGGTCTCGAGCTCCTGACCTTGTGATCCGCCCGCCTCAGCCTCCCAAAGTGCTGGGATTACAGGCGTGAGCCACCGCGTCCGGCTGGTTCCATGATGTTTAATGGAAGCCATGGGAGACGAGGCAGGAAGGAATTGGTTGAGAGGGAGGGAGGAATTTGAAACGTGCAAAGAAGGTGACCTCCTCATCCCCCTCACCCCAACCTAGCAGCCACAGTGGCAAGGCTGCAACTCAGTCCTGCAGAGAGCAGGCAAGTTAACCAATCTCCTCTGCCTGGGGCTGGCAGGAACAGCGTCATCTGTCAACTTCGAGGTGTGCATCTGGGGAAATAAACACCAATTAATGGCCCTGAGGTTTCCTATTCATGAACACCAGTTCTTCAGCCCTGACGTAGGCTCATTTGTGAGCCACTGGCTGAATACAAGATGGCATGAGGCCAGAGGGAGAGGCTGAGCAGGGGGTAAAATTGCTTCCAGCTCAAGAATATCAGACTGTGATTTATTGAGGCATCTGTTTGGTGCCAAGTTAAGTGGCCCAGGCTCTGTGTAGGGGGTGAGGTTGAAGCAGAAAGGGTGGTGAGGGGCAGGGTGCCAGGATTAGGCTGGAATATCCGGGGGTGCTCTGAGGCTCCCCAAATTTCCCTGGCCCTGTTTGGCTGTGGTGCAGGGGAGGGCACTGGCCTGGGCATCTGATGAGCCTCAAGAGCAACTCTGAGAGGCGGCTGATGCAGGGGCTAAGACAGAGACTCTGGAGCCACGCTGTTGGCTTTGAATTCAGACTACTGCGCTTGGCAGCCCTGACCTCTCCATGCCTCAGTGATTTGCTCAGCTGAGCTCTGTCTGAGCCAGGTGTCATTCCAGGCACTGCGGATCCTCCCAGAGGGAAACTTCCCCAGTTGCTCGCTCTCTGCCACCAGCTTCATGAAATGTCTCACTGGTTTTCTCAGGCAGATCCTTGTCTCTTTTGATGCCCTCACAACCCAGTGGAGGAGGCGTGACTCAACTGCCTCTGTCCCTCAGGGTACACTTCGCTGCCAAGTGCATCTGTGGATACGGGCCATCCTCCTGGGCTTCCAAAGCCAGCTGCTGCCCTCTGGGCACAGGGACAAGGAAACACTGTGGGTCTGGAGCCCTGGTCTGGGGCATCGGGCAGGGCTCTTGCACTTCTCTGAGCCTGTTTCCCCATGTGGAAAGTGTGCTGATCGAATCTTCCTGTGGGCACTGAGGGTTCAGTGTTCACTTGAGAGCCAGCATGGGGGTTCGGCTGTCATTTCCCTTCGGCCCCACAGTTGGAGGGAAGCAGGGACTTTGTCGTGATTACCCTAGGTTTCATTCTAGCTTCCTGCCTCAACGTGGGCTCAGCATCTGAAGTAGTCTGGGGAGCAGGTGGCCCTGGTGGGGGTAGGAGCTTTTTCCCAGACTGAAGGCACACCCAGAGCCAGAAACCTTGGTGCCTGCTCTGGGCTAAGGATGCATCTGGCCCCAGGGTGCAGGTAACTGCCCACTTTACCTGGTTTCTGCATGCCACGGCCAATCTTCAGACCTCGAGACTTCCCAGCCTGTCCCACCTCCCTCTCTGGCCAGGTTCGAACCCTCCCGGATCCAGTACTTTTTCCAGGCCATCTCCTGGTTATCCTCCTTTCCTGAGGCCTGGCTCATGCTGCTCCCCCTACCCACTCACCAAGACCTCAAGGACCACTCCACACCCAGCTCAACCCCATCCCCCTTTATAGTCCCTTCTCTTTCCTCAGGTGACCAGGTGCATATCTTGGTGCTCAAGACGTTCCCTGTCCCTGGGAATGCCCTGCTGGTCAGAGACCAAGGCATTCACTCGGTAAGGCCCATCGGTTTCTACCAACTGTGTCCCAGGAGCACTGGGGACATTAGACTTTGGAAACCTGGCAAAGAGGATGCTAGACCTGGGCTGGGCCCCACTTACCAGCTGTGTGGCCTCAAGCAAGTTACTTTCTTTCTCTCAGCCTCAATTTCCTGCATCTCTAAGATAGGAAAGGAGAGCAATAAATAACACGGGCTACCTAACACTTTCTTCCAAACACTAAATCAAAGGGCTTGAATAAAGTCCCTGCTAGCACATAGTAGGAGCTCAAGAGATGTTGCCCTCTGTTTTAGGAAACTAGTTGGGAGAAGGTTCTAAATTTCGGGAATGGTAGAAACAGCATGAACTTTGGGGGTAGATCCAGGTTCCAGCTCCAGCTGCTTGGCTGGGTGACCCTGTTTCCTCACCTACAAAAGGCAGCAACAAAGTCACTTTTTTTTTTTTTTTTTTTTGAGATAGAGTCTGGCTCTGTCACCCAGGCTGGAGTACAGTGGCCTGATCTCAGTTCACTGCAACCTCCGCCTCCCAGGTTTAAGCGATTTTCCTGTCTCAGCTTCCCAAGTAGCTGGGATTACATGCACCTGCCATCATAGCCAGCTAATTTTTGTATTTTTAGTAGAGACAGGGTTTCACCATATTGGCCAGGCTGGTGTCAAACTCCTGGACTCAAGTGATCCACCTGCCTCGGCCTCCCAAAGTGCTGGGATTACAGGTGTGAGCTACTGCGCCTGGCTGAGGCCACATATCTTACAGGATGGTTGTGACGATCTGTATTTCTCTCCAAGCGCTTCCCACTGTTTGCCAAGTGGGCAAGGGCAGGGAGTTTGTCCTTTCGTTCCCTGCTGTCCTCCCACCTAGAACACTGCTTAGCACATAGCAAGCACTATGTCAGTAAGTCAGTACTTCTTTCCTTGTATTTATTTATTTATTTTGAGATGGAGTCTCACTCTTTTGCCCAGGCTGGAGTGAAGTGGCTCTATCTCGGCTCACTGCAACCTCCGCCTCCTGGATTCAAGCAATTCTCTGGCCTCAGCCTCCCGAGTAGCTGGGATTACAGGCACACACCACCACGTCTGGCTAATTTTTGGTAGAGATGGGGTTTCGCCATGTTGGCCAGGCTGGTCTCGAACTCCTGACCTCAGGTGATTCACCCGCATTGGCCGCCCAAAGTGTTAGGATTACAGGCATGAGCCACCACGC